CCCCCCCCCCCCAAAACTTATTTTAAATGTAATTATTTGTACCCTTAACGCTGACAACCAAACTCTTGGCAAGTGGTGAGCTACACGCGCCCCCACATGTATTTTTTACTTTTTTTATTCTTTCTTCTTTTTCTTATCCTTTTTTCTTTTTTCTTATTATTCTCATTTTTTTTGATTATTTCATTGCGATTGCAGCGAAGAATTGATCTGGAACGAAGCACTTCGTCTATAGGCATTGTAGAAAGTTTTGGTCACCGGCGGCATAAAATGGTGGTCGTCGGAATTTCATAAACACCATTTTTTTTTTGGCGAATTTTTTTTCGGGCGATATATATNCCGATGATGAATTTTTTTCCCCCAAATCTGAGTGTATTTTGCTTTGCTTATGAATAGATCTTTTTGAGAGTTTAATTTGTGTGTGAAAAGAAAAAATTGAAGAAAAACGGTTAGACAAAGTCGCCGGTGAATGAATATCCGCCGGAATTAGAGAAGAAACGGAAAAAAAAGAGTAAAAGAAAAAAGACAAAGAAAAAGGAAAAAGAAGAGGAAAAAAGTAAGAAAAAAAAAGTAAAAAAGAATAAAAAATAATCTGAAAATTATTTTTTTTTCCTTCTTCTCACTAAATACACACACTCTGGCACGTCAGCATTAAGGGTGCAAATAATTCCATTTAAAATAAGTTTAGGGGGGCAATAGGATTCCCGTGAAGAAAAAGTGTGTAGTTGGAAATTCGGGTATAGATAAGGGGAGTACTTGTGCATTTTCCCTACTTTAATTATAATGTATTTTTATTTTATGTATTGTTAATTTTCTTTATTAAATTTTAGTTTCACTTTTTAATTTTAGCAACATTAGATATCTTACATTTGTATTTTTTATTTTTAAATATTGATTATATTTCTTTTTATACAATTGTAATAATAATAAAAGTAACTTACAATCTTATATAAATATAATATATACAAAAATTAATATATCAAAAAAATAGGATATAAAATTAAAATTATAAAGATCTTAATATAAAAATTAATTATATACACAATATATGATAAATTAAAAGTCCAAAAAATAAAAAGATAAATAAAATAATAATAAATCAAATTTGGTATTCATGCACTATAATGGTGCAAGATTTGGTGTTCCATTGGAGCAAAAAAATACCAAATTTAGATTTGGTGCAAAATAGTGCACCCTTGAAGATGCCCTTACATGCTGAAGGTAGAATTATTAGTTAGAGCTTTAGTTTTGAGCTTCTGCTTTGGTATATGTTTCTATAGATACGTGATGTATTGTGCTCCTGAACTTCCTGTTCATGATAAAAAGGAGTTGGAGCAGCTGCCTTGCTGACCGGGGTGAAGCTACTCTCTCGTAAAGGTGGTCAATTGATCACTCTTTGTCGGAAAATTACATTGTATATATAGCTAAAAATTAGGTTTTAGATGTATATAACATATATTGAATATTATTTATCGGAGAATTTTGTTTTGCTTTTTCAAGTTTGAACACCCTTGGAGAAATTTCTGACTTCGCACGGCTTGCCGATTTGAGTTATCTTTAATAAGTTATTGAGTTATTTTTTCTCTTTCTTTTTGTGATGACTCTTTGCTTTTTCAAGTTTGAACACCCTTATCACTATATTAGTTTCCAACAGAATCAGTGGCCAGAATTTTTATTAATAGAAAGACTGACAGTATCCATCTCTACTAAAATAGAAAGCTCTGGGTAATCTCTTGGATGACACATAGATCAGTGGCACCTTCTACACTTCTTCAATATTTTCTTCAATTCAAGATTTCTTAGGTCAATTAGGGATTGTTTGGTTCACATTTTTTGGACCTTTTTTTCCGTTTGGTCAATTGCTCCCGTTTTACCATAAATTTTTGTTTGGTCAATTTGGGAGCTTTTTTTCTTTTTCAAATATCTGTTTGTTTATAGATTTTAATTATTTTTGGCAGATTTTGAAAATAAAATCTTCGAATCCTAAAAATAGCTCTAGAATAATTTTTGAAGTTTTTGTAGATTTTTAGTCACAAAAGTTCAAATTCTTTTCAAGTAAAATGCATGTCCAAACTCAATTTCAACTTTCAAAAATTATTTTTCATCTCATCTTCAAAAATTCATTTTTCAATATCAAACCTATATTCAAACGCTAGCTTTATTTCGAGTCTAATTCAAGACTCTTAGGTCAATCAGGGATCGTTTCGGAATTTTCTGTTGATGTTTGGTTTTAGATTAAAAGTGAGATATACAAATATAATATAGAATAAATCTTTGGTTTTACAGTTGATATTGTATTGGTCTAAATTTGGCGACTTGGTAGTATTGGATAAACGAGACCCAGGACGCAGTCGACTGCGGTGTAATAGCAAGAGGTCGCTCTCAAGAGGGCTGATGCCAAAGACAGGCAGGCAAGGTTAAGAAATAAGGGCAGGATAGGTTCAGATATAGACACAAGGAGTATTCCTTTGGATATTCCTTATTTTGTACTTTTTAGGGTTTCTAGGGAATATCCCTTATAAATAGGAAGAGATACAGAACAATTGGGGGATCTTCACTTTATGAGAAAAAACACACTGTAAAAGGTTGACTTGAAAGAATATACAAAAGTTGTCTTGTTCATTGATTACCTTATCCAAGCATACGTTTCTGATTCTTTGTTCACAAGATCCAAAGATTCTTCAACCATCTTTATTTCTCCTCTTTCCACGCTGTTGTTAGGGAAAAAAGCCATCCGAGTCTTACAATAATTGGGTGGTAGATTCCTTTTTGTTATATTCATTGCCAGTATCTACATTTATTGCACATTTATGTTGCATTCATGAGCATTTAATCAGTACGAACGTATTGATTAACGTTGTTTATCTTACCGACTTTACATAATATTTGGTCTAGATTTTATTATTCTTAACTAAGATTCACCCTTCATCTCATCATTAATTGATTTAACTAAAAGGCTCAACACTTTTAGCGGAATATTTGAAAACTTTCATTAATCTAGTGAACGAGATGCAAATTGAAGAAGAAACTGTAGCAATTTATTAAATTATTCATCAAAGTCTACCTGGTTGATATGATTTTTGTGCTTGTTCAATTATTCACCAAACTCTACCAGATTGATATGACTTTGTAAGCGGCCTATCTGTTAAATCATTCATCAAAATCTACGTGATTGGCATAATTTATTTGTGTTGTCCAACAAATTATTTTTCAAAATTATAATTTGATACATAACAGTATGACAAAATGATAGAACTTTAGCAATAAATATTATATTGATCTGATTGCTCAAACGTCAATATATCAAGCTGTTAAATTAACATAAATAAATGTGGCAAAATCATGACTTTTTAGAGTAGCTGAAGAGCTAAGCCTGAGACAGATAAATATGCTCCTTGTGCCTATGAAATGATCAAGACAATCTGTGGGGGAAATTTATTTTCTTTCCACATTTGAATGGAGAAGTAACATCATATTGCAGATATAATCATATTATTTGACAAATATCTAACATCTTGTGCAGATAAAACCATATTAGAGATTGTAGATAGGAAGCTTGTCCTCTGCACTGGTAATAGAGGTTTTTCCCTTTAAGAAGTTGGCGTACCAGTATGCGGAAAGTTTTGGATACCTTGTTAATTCTTTATCATCCAAATCTACATAGTAGAGGCCATAGCTCAGTCCATAGCCACCAAGTAATTCCAAACCATCTAACAAGGACCACGCGAAATACCCTCTTGTATCCGATCCATTCCTGCATTATATATATAGTAAAAATAGCACGGTATAGCCAGTTTTCGGACTGGTCAATCAAAAATAGCCAGCGTTTACCAAGTCAATGAAAAATAGCCACTATTTTGCTGCAATAGAGACCGGTCCAGCATAATATACTGGAGTTCGGTGCACTTGTGTATGAACTCTAGCATATTATGCTGGACCGGTATACCTTGCTGGCTCCAGTATAATATACTGGAGACTGGAGCACCGGTGCTCCAAACTCCAGTATATTATACTGGACCAATATACTTGCTGGAACTCCAGTATAATATGCTGGAGTTCTAGTGTACTTATGCTGGAACTCCATCATATTATGCTGGAGTTCCAGCATACTTATTCTAGAACTCCAGTATAATATGTTGGAGTTCAAGTATACTTATGCTGGAACTCCAGCATAATATACTGTAGTATTTTTTTCGGGTTTTGAACAGTGTTTTCGCTCAGATTTATCTTTATATAAAAAGTGGCTAAATTTCGATTACTTTTGAAATTGGACTATTTTTGAACGACCAGTTGTAAATCTGGCTATTTTTAAAATTTACCCATATATATATATATATATATATATATATATATATATATATATATATATAGGTAGAGTGGACAAAACAAAAGTTTTTAGCAACTTTGTTATAAGAAAGTCAATAACTTTGTTGTTTACCTTACAGCGTCAAGAACACTCCCAATGTAGGCATGCAAATATTCTATTCTTGCTGTGTCATTTAGTGTACCATTACGCCGAGTCTTTTGACCTGCCAAAACATATCATTAAGCATCTTAAACACTTTTCACTTCAGAAAGTCACAAAATTATGCTAACATCCTGAAATCTTACATTTGGAATTCAGAGGAAACTACAGTATAGTTTCCAGAATACCCCACAACAGGAAGTGGGGTGGGGGGGGGGGTGTATACTGAATAAGGCAAAACACACAAGTGTAAGAATCCAGAAAGCATAAAATCAAAGGAGAGGACGCACCATTTTCCTGAATGTAAATCGGCGGGTTGCCATAAGCCTCTTTTAAGTAGTCCAGAAATTCATAAAGACCAGAAGGTATCACTGGATACTAAAGTCAAACAATGTTTAAGTGACAGAAGCCGTGTATATCTTGAAATAACAACTTATATTAGAGGCTTCACCTGATCTGCTGCCAATGCCTCAACTGCAGGAACTCAAAATAGATAAAATTAGTGAATATCATCTTATCCACCATAAGCACATAAAATAATAAACTATGGAAAAAGATAAGGAATTTGGATTTCATACGTGAGATATCTGCTTCTATGTCAGCACCAAAGTCCCTGGTATTCTTTTGAATGCTGGAAGACCTGTCCTTGACAGATGCTGTTGTATAGTGGTTTACGCCTATGAAATCAACTGAGCCCTTAACTAGCTTAGCCTCATATTTGCTGAAGGTTGGAATTCTTGTCCCAGCAGCCTTCTTCATTACAGAGGGATAGTCTCCAAATATTAAAGGATTCATTATCCTGCAGCCAAAGTCGGAAAACAAACATATTGCTTGCAAATATAAAAACATCCATCTTCTCATCAAAAAGCAAAGCTTAAGTTATTAGAGAAAGCACATTTTCTTGATAATAGGAGACAACGAACTTGAAACTAGAACGTCTGCCGAATTGTGTGACCACTCATTTAAAAGTTGAAGCTTTTAAAGAGAGCACAGGTTTATATTATGTCTTTTAAAACAAAACCTGTAATATTGATATGGCTAGATTTGACATGTCAGAAATATAACAGCCAATGAAATTCTAAAACTCACCAACCAGTATAAAATTCATTAGCTCTTTGTGCTGCATTTACATCATCCACTGAATGTGTGTAAGGAACAAACCAAAAACCATATATACTAAATCCCACAAAACCATGTTGGATGGACTGCATTGCAAAAATTTTGCTGTCATTAATAAGCACATCACATGTCTTAAAGTAAAGTTGTTCACTCACAAGTAATACAAGGAGCTGGAAATGAGAACAGTAATGCTCAAACTAAAGCACTAAAACACAAAATCATTGAGACTTCAATAACGATACAGATGAAAGTTATTTTGCTTCTAGATTGAATCATACCTTGTAATTTCTCCTGTACAATTTCATTGTGGATGAATGTGCAAGCAACATGTTATGAACAACAATATAAGGCTCAGTAGATGAATTGCCTCTAGAACAATTAACCCCAAAAGGTGGGGAACAACGTCCTGGTGGGATGATGCCATGATCATAACCTCCGATAGCAAATACATTGGCCTCATTAATGGTGGTCCAATACAACACCCTGTCACCAAATTCCTTGAAGCATACCTCTGCATATGCAGTGAAGTCCTTCCTAAAGTCGATAGCAAATTGTAGAGTTAATCGTATCTGATGACCTGATACTAAAACTGATATATGAGTAAACAGGTCAAAAATATATGCTATAGACATACACAATCTTTCGGCTTAACCATCCCCCGTATTCATCTTCAAGTACCTGTGGCAGATCACTGTGAAGTAGTGTAACATGTGGTTGAATACCTGCAATATGAAATACTTTTAATGCGGGAATTTGAAAGTGCAGTTTTTTGCTTTTCTTCTTTCCCTATTATATGTAATCGACAAGATGTAGCCAAACGTTATAAAGAAATTTGGTCATTACCTTGGCTGATAAGTTCATCAATGTAATTGTTATAAAATTGTAAACCCTTTGGATTTACAGGTCCTCTTCCACCTGGAAAGAGAACAAACACCGACCGCATCAAAGGGGATGGAAAATAACCTGAGGTGTTTGCAAGAGGCTAAACCTACCTGGAATAAGTCTAGACCATGAAATAGAGAACCTGTAGGCTTCTAAGCCTGTCTCCGCCATGAGTTGGACATCTTCCTGCGATGAACAAAATATGCCTTTCTTTACGAAAACCACCAACTTTTTACAAGACATAAAGAACAAATCATTTCTTGAAGACCATAAACTAAAAATAACAAAGACACTTAGAGTTAGAGTGGTACCCCAAACCTAAGATTATGCTAATCCGCCAAGGACTTAAAGACTTAGTTAAATGCTTTTTTTGGCATGTTGTTAAGAGAATTGAAAGATAGGAACTTGTAGACAACATTGCAGTTGTAAAATACAACAACCAGGAAGTTCAATTGATTCTAAATCCTAAGCATGGAACTGAACACTTCTTTCATTGCTTTTCAACGTAATAAGCATGTTATTTATTCAACATCTATAATTTGCTTGTTGCACTTGTCCGTTTTATCTCGGATATCAATCAATCAAACTTCTACGAAAACTACCCACTCCTTAAACTATTGATGGTATGGAACCATTTGTTACATCTCGTTACTTCATAGCAGTCAGTGGGAGGTAAAGGAATCAGATTGAAACAGAGTTATTGTATAGACCTTGTATTTGTGGTACAGATCACATGCTATGTCTCCATTGGCTCCACCGGAAAAACCTGGAAGCAAAAACTTGAAATATATATGCCAATCTGTACTAATCTAACTCGCAGCATTTTTTGTTTCCTAATAGAGTGATTTTAAATTTCTACAAAGAAATAAATGTTCCACATATAAATGATAGTCCAAAAGTAGCATATCCACTTGATCAAATGTAAAACTTTCAGTAGTAGATTCCACTGCCATAAAAAAGGGGCAGCCTGTACAAAAGATCCCGTGCTTACGGAGGATTCGGGGAAGGGGTGTGTTGTAGACAGCCTACCTAATGCAAGCATAGCTGCTTCCATGACTCGTACCCGTGACCTATAGGCCACACAAAGACAACTTTACCATTGCTCCAAGGCTCTCCTTCGGTTACTCCACTACCATAGATGGAAAAAAAAAAGACATTTCAGTTAGGCAATTGTAAAAGCATGTAACAAAGTCTCCGCCATAGCATGGTAAAGCATCAACTGTGACGCTCACGATGGAAGGCGCTGATAAGAGCGGGGTTTGGAGAATGACTTACAGTCTTCTACGATGGCAAGCTTCCGAAAAAAGGATGCATATGACACTTAAGTCAATCCCACATCGGAAATGAAGAAGAAAATGAACTGATATATAAGACAGTACAAGCAGAGGTGGATCTAGGATTTTAGGAAGATGGGTGCGCACTATTACGATGAGGTGGATCCAGAATATAAATTTTACGGGTTCTAACCTTTAGCACTAACTATTGCAGTATTGCACCCATTATACTTTGGAAACTATAAGTTCAAAATTAATCTCTTTTAAAATAGTAATTTTCGTACATCTATATCTACACTCTATGTGGAAAATGTTGGGATTAGTTGAACGAATTGACTATATGCTACATCATCCACTACTACTAGTTTTAATATAGATATTTCGTTAAATCATATACTAAGATTTATGGTGACAAAAGAAAAATAGGAATTTCAATGTGTGAAAATTTTGAAAGAATACACCAAACAAAGAAAGAAAAGAAAAGGAGTAGTTAATTAATACGCAAAAATTAACACCGGACATGTCCATCTCCTGTCGGCGCCTAGTTCTATAAGAAAAAGGAAAATACAAACCAGCATGAGCAAAAGTGTCCCAAATGCTAGGTGTCCTTCCATCTTCAAATGCTGCACCTTCTACCTTTTCTTCAAATATAACCAATCAAAGAGTAAACATTTACTGGAGTATTCATCAATTAAAAACTGATCAAAAGAAATCTTTTAACTGACTTGATAGGCAGAAGTTCCAGCACCAAAAACAAAGCCAGGAGGGAAGTCAGCTCTATTATAATGGTCTGTACTAAAGACTATCACCAATAAACATTGGATTGAAACAAGCAGCAGCAAAAAACTGTAGTTGGATTGCACATTTCGGAGCATCATGGCTATTATTAACTCCTCTTACCCCACATATACCCTCAACACTTATTGTATTTCTTGACCCATATATTTGTTAGTTCCAGTAAACCAACAATGGAAAGAATCTTTATCACTTTTCCATAGTTACAAAGAGAGGGGAGAAACAAGAAGTGCATGATAGGGACATTCTCCAGCAAGAGAGAGATTTGAAGTGTTAGGGGTCGTTTGGTAAGAATAATGTTACAACATGATGTATCAGCTAGAACAAAACTCGGTATGGAAAAATCCTTGGTAGGAAGGCTAGCCCCGAATGGGGCCCTACCCGGCGCGAATCCGGATTAGTCGGGCTTCAATGTGGGTACCGAATACCGGGTGAGAAATCAAAAAATAAAATAAAATGTTAGGACATGATGTATCAGATATTAGTTATGCTTGCATCAGTTATGCTCGTATATTTATTATCCATTGTTTGATTTGATGTATTAAAGTATTGTACAATTTCTAAAAGAATTATTTGTTTACAAAAATACCCTCATAAGTCATAAGCAGTCCATCACTTTATTATTTTAAAGAAACATATGTTGAGGAATATTTTTATATGAAAAAGATTTTTAAAAATATTATTTGATTTATCTACCTATATTGTAGTATATAACTGAATATTTATTTATAAAAAAAATATGCTAAGTATTTATTTAGTTACTTGGGATATAATTTTATTTTCCACTTTCTTAGACTATTTCAAACTTGCATTAATATAATAATATATTTTAATCAAGCATCAATTTGGAAGGACAATTTTGTCTTTAATTAAGCTAATGCATGCATTAAAATCCATTGCATTGTTAATACCATAGTTTCTTATACATTAGCTATGCATAGGATAATATCAAATAAGGTGCATATTTGATATTACTTTATTCAAAGTTTGTGCCCGAGGAAGAACAAAATTGAGAAGAATGAAGTAGTTTATTCTCAATCCCAAGAATTGCACTATGTTTGGAGCTTTTCCCCTTCAAGAAGTTAGAGTACCAACGTGCAGAAAGCTTTGGATATCTTTGCAAGTTTTTGTCATTTAAGTCCACATAATATAGGCCAAATGCATGCCGAATCATATGCGTCCAATAACTCAAAACAGTCTAAAAATGACCATGTGAAATAGCCTTTCACGTTTGATCCATTCCTAGAATAACAAAGAGATGCAGGACACGAATGTCATACATTCCTAGAATAACAAAGAGAAAGCCTATAAAATAACTTTCTTGGACTTAGAAATTTAGAGCGCAAGTATAGGTTTTTAATTTTTGTGTGTGTGCGTGTGTGAATGAGTGAGAGAGAGAGAGCGAGGGGGAGGGAGAGGAGGAGGGAGAGAGGGACCATTTTCATGAATATACATAGGCGGATTGCCATAAGCTTGCTTGAAATATTCTAGTACTCCTTGTAGACCAGGTTCCGTCACTGGATACTGATTCAGAAGAAAAATGTCATTAGCTCGTTGTGCTGCAATTATATGAGTCGTTTTATTTGTGACCAAAATGCAAAGAGATTTAATCCAACAAGACCATGTTGAGTTGCCTGCATTGAAACAAAAACATTACTTATTTAGCAAACATTTGGGACTTGAGAACACTAGTAATCACTCGTATATATATCACTTGATATGATGTTTAAAGGTGATACCTTGTATTTTCTCCTGTATAGTCTCACTACAGCTGAATGGGGGAGCAATAAATTATGACCTGGCTCGATTGAAGAGTTACCAATGGAGCAAGCTAAGGTCTAAATCCGAAAGGTGGGGAACAATGGTTTGATTCCATTGCCATAATGGAAAATCGACAGCCTTCCAAACCCGTGTCAGTTACATCTTCCTGCAATACACAACGTCTAGGGCAATCAAATTAATCATCAACTACATCTGCTATGGCTCCTCCATATGAACAAGGCAATTGCTGCTGCTATAGGAACAAGGAACAAAATGCTCATGCACATTTATATGTGACTTCATTCATGTATGGTTTAAAAGTTGTTTACTTTTGGACTTCCATTTATTTTCTGACTTAACGTTTTACTGCAAGTCGCATATATATATATTCTGTCATAGAATCAACTAGCTCATTCATTGAACTACGTGCAATCCATCGAGTTCATTCATTGTAAGTCTATTCTCTTTATTTTGTTTTTGAGGTTTAAGATTACCGGTGGGATGAACGAGTCCGGAGAATGAAAAAATTCCTGATAGAAGGTTGTGTCCCTAAAATGAGCCCTAGGCAACACAATCTAAATTAGTCGGGCCAATTAATTTCCTATACCATATTGTTAAACAAAAAAAAAAAAAAAAGAATTTAGATTGAATTTCTAGTCCAAAATGAGTAAAGTTGAAAGACCATCACCATCAGAAATATCTACGAGTACTTGAGCCTTGATAAAACCACTCATAGTTTTCTTCATAAAACAAAGAATCAGAAATGAATGAAGTTATTGTACCACGCGGTACTTACTCGGTTATCCTGTGTATCAACTTATGCTTATTTTTAATACTTAAAACGTAAATAAGCTTTTAATTGTTAAAATTGTACTTCAAACATGTACACAAATTTATACACTTTTTCGGCTACCAAAATGTAAATAGTTTCTGGAGCGGGCTAAAATGGGAAAAAGCCCTTTACCTCTTAAGCTATTTATTATATTTCTTCTTTTTTACCACCAAATCTCTCCTCAAAGATAAACTATATGAAATTAGCTACCACAACAAATGAAACAAAATAGACTTCACCTTATTTTCTACCAAAAATAATGGCTGGGGGGTGAAAATAACTGTTCATAACTGTTTTGAGGTAGCAAAGTTTCTCCAGGAAATTAATAAATAGATAACAGTGTGTTTAATCCCAAAAATTCTAAACCAAGAAAGTCAAGCCTATTAGTCTCTGTAATACAACTACGTAAAATATTAATTTTAAGACCATTGTCAACATGATTAGACCCCTCATACCCAAATTGAAAATTTTGGTCCTTTATAAATTAAAATCTATTAATATATAAAAAGAGAAGCAAATTCGTGAAATTATGCCAAGTGTCAAAATGAAATATCAACACGTGTCATATTTTAGGAAAAAACTCCAATAAATTTGGAAATTCAAGAAAATTTTAAAATAGAAAAAAACTTACGAAATTTTAAATCATTAACCAATTCACTTATTCACATTATGGAGTCCCACGTCTTTGGGCAGATACTTTTTAAAACTGAAACTAAAAAAATATAATCACTTTATTTTTTTGGTCAATCACGTTTAATTAAAAATATTACAGTTACTTCCTTTTTTTTGTCAATTCACGTTTAAAGGAAATACAATCACTTTTTATTTTGTTGTCAACCACGTTTAATTAAAGGAAATATAGTTACTTTATTTTCTTTTCAATTCACGTTCAATTACAGTTGCAACTCCTAATAATAAGGAGATATCCAAGGCAATGGTTACTATAATCATTTGAAAGAACCGTTTCAAGCCAAAACCTTCACGTCTTCAGTTTTTATCAAATGGATAATTTTTCAGTTCCAAATGCCTCAGGTTTCAAATACAGTGGCACCCAAGGCAGAGAAAAAATCAACAAAGAAGAAGAAATTTATTAGTGAAAATAATCTGAAAGTACAAAGTTGGATATTGTTAATTTGTGCCAGTAAGAATCTTCACCAGTTCACTAAATTTCTTATGGTTTCATTGCTTTAATCCCTTCTTTTTTCCTTACTTATCTTCTGTTTTTTGTTTGGTCATGGTTATTATAGGAAGGAGACTGAGTATTTAAATATGGAATTGTAAATAATGTTTGACTGTAAGAAGCCTTCATCTTTTTGAACTCTCATTTATTGGGAGTAGGGGGGTAAATTGTTCCTTCTCTTTTCACGTCTGGGGGAAGAGGGAGGGGGGGAGGGGTTGGGGTGGGATGAATTGTTCCTTCTCATAGTAGATGTTTCATTTTTATATTTAAATTTTCTAAGGATTCTGTTATATATGTTTTCAAAGATCTTCTTCCAAAATTTTTTATGGAATGATGACGTTTGTTTTCCATGGGAGGGAAGGAAGCTGATGAAAAACCTGAATATTGGTTTCTGCAGCAATAAATATTTTATGTACATTGATCTTTCTTTTGACATTTTCAATTTCGCCGCTCCAACAATTCAAGGATAAAGTATGTTTCTCCAAATGATATCTTATGGGCATTTTTCAATTTTCTGTGTCGCGTTTTCCGATACACATAGACTTTTGCAATGTGGCTATTATATTAGTTATAACACGATAGAATGAAATATTTTATGTATTAGTTTTTTGGTTCGTCTTCCTCCCAATTAATTTGACGCATATGTTGAATTTGAGTTATATACCTTTTGTGGATAGAGTGATGATACAAAATTCATTTGTGAAGAATCAAGAGAGAAGCTTCATCTTCATTTTTGGTCTTTTTATTGTTTAAGTTGAGACCAATTTATTTTGGTCCTTTTATGCGTACTATCTACAATAGAAATGTGTCTATACGAAGGAATTACTTTATTATTGCCATTTCCTTTTTGTTTGAAGTTAGAATATGAATAATTATTTAAATTCACTATTTTTTTCTCTGATGCTATTTCGTGATACAATGTGGAAGACTGGAGTATAAAGTGTCTCAATAGATGTGGTTCTAC